GGATTTTTAGACCTAAACCCTATTTTAAATACAAGACTTCGCCCAAGAGAGGCATGTATTGAATTTTAGAGTATCTTGGCAAGGAGAACAATTGTGAGAGATCACCCAAAACATCTTTCTTCTTTTCTTTGATTTTTATTGCTAGTTATGATGAATTCTATCTTAGTTTGTTTTCCCATAGCCATGAGTAGCTAAATCCTGTGTCTAAGGCTTTGATGGAACCTATTGGGGGATGAACATCTTGTTTATGTGAATACAAATTGCTAGTTTCAATCTCTATTTGTTCAACTTTGTGTTTGTTGTAGTTAATTGACAGGATCCTCAATTAGATGTGCCTATTTAGTGTGCATAACTTGGAAAAGAGTGCATATTTAGGTTATCGTTGAACAACACCACTCCCAAAGTATAAGAGGAATCTATAATTGCGGGTTTAAAGGCGGGATTAGGGATAACGAAGCCTTGGGTGTAATCTAAAGTGAATTGTGCTAAATAAAGTAAGTTGGTGTATCTCGGGAGAGTGCAATTAGTATATTACTGTGATTACTCGGGAGAGATTTACGGTAATATGAGCGTTCATGATTGATAGAGATGTGTTGGTAAATTTGTATGAGCATAAACAGAAGGGATTCTTTCAATAGGGGAAATCATTGCCTTAGCTTCTTCTCATCATTGTTTACAACCTTAGCATTTTAATTTACAGCTGTTTAATTTACTTGCAACCGTAGTTAGTAAAGCAACCTTCAACTGTGATTCAAACATCAGGGAAGCTGGTTCTGAAGAGTTTATTGGGTCTAAAGATAGTGATCGATAGGTTAACTCTCTGTGGATTCGACCCTGGGCGTAATACTCAGGTTATATTTACAACGTCCGCAGAGTCCCTTTTTTAGAGGGCATAGTTGGGCGTGACCAGTTTAGTTCATATTGCTGAAAATTCTCTTTTACTCCATAATTTAAAGAAGAAAGAAGGATATACTTCTGTTGTTGAATCTATGTTAGATAAATTTAAAAAATATATCTACCTAATTCCCCCCTATTTACCTAATTGGTGCTATTTTAAATTCTTCTATCAAAATGGCCACTTGTCGCTAATTAATCACTGCTTTATATGTTGATGGATATTGGACCAACTGAAATTCCTAATATTGAAATTTGTATTTCTGATCTACACAATCATTTACAAACTTTATATAATTATTATGCTAACATTGTTGTTGCTTCTGCTGCTGTAGATGCAAATATTCCTTCAAGTTTAGTTTCAACATCTGGGACCGGTGCTTTGGAGGATAATGATGGTGTTGAAGATTATTTGATTTGGTCTACACTAGGAGAGCATCAACAAACCAATATCAGGAATATTGATGAACCCCAATTTTACTTGCAAAAGTCACCAGAGACCCGCACAAAGGAATTTCAACCGCTGGGTTGGTGGAGGAGCAACTCAAATCAATTTCCTGTTCTTTCGGCCATGGCTCGAGACGTGCTAAATGTGCCGATTTCAATAGTCGCATTAGAGAGCGCGTTTAGCCAAGCAAGGCACAACTAGGAGATACCCGTCATTCATTGGGCAACAACGCGTTAGAAATTCTAGTGTGCTTCAGAGATTAGATAAGATCAGAACGGCGAAATCAAGGTCGTGAAGAGGTAGATGAAGCGGAGGACCAAGAAATTAGAGATATAATGGTTTATGGTTCTGATTAAAGCAATGCCGGAAATCAAAAACCTCATGTTGACATGGATGAACTTACCAAAATGATTCAAAGCATGTGATGTACTCTTTCTTATTTTTTATAATTGTTGTAAACTTTTAATTTGCAAGTTCAAAAATCAAAAAATCAAAATAGAACTTGCAAATTAATTTGAAGTATTTTTGTTATTCAATGAAAATATAAACGAAAGCCTTCGGAGTTTAGTCCTTACATATTGCCTATTGGTCTTATTAAATAATTTTTTATAGCCATTTACTTTCAAATTTCAATTTTAAAATTTTAAAATTCAAATTTAAAACTTTAAACTTCAAATTTTAAAGTTTAGTTCTAAGCCTTAAAAGATTGCAAACTTTTAAGTATTAATAACATTGAATAAGAAAAATAAAATATACTTAAAAAAAATAACCCGGCCCGATCCGAATCCGTTAAGCCCGAATCCAGACGGGCCAACCAAAACCAGGAAAATTCCAGCCCACTACCAACCCGGAACCCCAGCTCACTAACCAACCCGGAACAATAACCGGACGGGCTATTTTTTTCGTGTCCAGCCCGGAACAACCCATCCGGTTAACACCTCTAGTGGGAACCGAAGCTCAGAGGGTTCGGGCATGTGCAGAGGAGAAGACCTAATGCCCCAGTAAGAAGGTGTGAGCAGTTGGATTTGGTAGGTACGAGAACAGGTAGAGGACGGCCTAAGAAGTATTGGGGAGAGGTGATGAGGCAGGACATGGCGTTTCTTCAGATTTTCGAGGACATGTCCCTTAATAGGAAGGTGTCGAGGTCAAGCATTAGGGTTGTAGGTTAGAAGGTAGTTGAGTATTTTTCTACTTCGTACAGGGTGAGAGGCTAGTCTGATAGGGTTTGTCTTGGACTGCCAGTGATTAATGTTGTGTTCATAACATTCTTCCATTTTTCATAACACCGGGCCTTCTTTACTAGTTATTGTTATTGCATTTCATCTATTTTCTTGTTCTTATGATACTGTTATTATTTTTATGATATCTGTTGATGATACTGATATATTATCTCTTTTCTTCTTTTTTATTTTTTTGAGCCGAGGGTCAATCAGAAATAATTTCTTTACTCCATCGGGGTAGGGGTAAGGTCTACATAAAAACTACCCTTCCCAAATACCACACATATGAGATTTTATTGGGTTGTTGTTGTTGTTGTTGTTGTTGTAATATAGTTGATCAATTGATCTACATCAATTCGCTAATATAAAAAACTCTTGCTTACTATATTGTTGATTTTATTATGTTATTTTGTGAATGTGGGATTCTCAATTTATAGAGTTCCACGATCTTGTCCTCAAGAAATGAACTGTCAAATATAGGGGATATTTATATTTTCCTTTAAGGAAAAGTAAAATCGATCATGATAAATAATTTATCAAGTAACATGTAAAATTCAATTGTGAAAAAAAGTAAATCACGGCAACTCTAACAATTCTTTTATTTGGCTTGAATTTTCTTCGCGAAACTTGATCCACCTTATTTACATAATCTTTATCAATGTTGCTTTCCATGGTTAGATTTGCATATGGGTTAAAAATAAGAACACGTACGTTAAAAGTGAGCATCGATTAAAAATTACAGGGCTCTGCATTAAAAGCGAGCAGAGTTAAAAATGGAGTCATACGTTAAAAGTGAGCAGAGTTAAAAGTGAAAGTCCATACAATAGAAGTAAGCATGAGTTGCAAATGGGAGCTCATGCGTTACAAATACCATAGGTTAAAAATAGTTTTTTGTTTTTAAAGATGTAGCGACATGAATGTTAAAAATATGATTCAAATTTTTATTTCACATGTAGCGCTCCAATCTTTTTTTGGGACAAAAGTCTTCATTATCGTCAAATTAGGCGTTACTTGATCTGAACCGACCTTGAACCTTTCGCTTTGAACCACTAGCTCTGATACCACTTGTTGGAATCGAAACTAACAAGGCTTCGTGAGAAAACCAACAAAGCAATACCTTGGCAACAATAAATGAGACGACAAAAAATTATACTAGAAGAGGCATAATATACTACCACAATATAGTTTTGATCAATTGATCTACATCAATCAACTAATATAAAAAAGAGAAAAAACTTATTCGAAAGAATAAATTCTCCCGCTAAATAAAGTTATCTTAAAGACTATATTGTGGATGCTATTGTGTTATTTTATGAAGGAGGAATCCTCAATTTATAAAGGTTCACAGTTTTCTCTTCCAAGGAAACGATTTATCAAATATGAAACAATAACAGTAACAAATACAAACTCAGTATAATCTCACGAGTGAGGTTTTGGGAAGGCTGTGTATACGCAGATCTTATCCCTACCTTAAAAGTAAAGAGGTTATTTCCGATAGACCCTCGACCTATCAAATATAGAAGCGATCTATATTTTTTTTTTTTAATAAAAAAGTAAAATCGATTATGATAAATATTTGATTATTCCTTCAAGTAACAGGTTAATTCAAATATGAAAAAAAATAAAAATCAAGCGACCTCTAACAATAGGGGAGGATATTATTATAAGGTGCAAAAGAAATCTTGCCAATAATAAAAGTTCAGATTAGCCAACAAATTGAGCTACCAAAATTCCTCAATTTGCTTGTTATTTGTATATATATTCAAGTCTTTTTAATCGTGGACTTTTAAATTTTAAAATCAAGATATTAAATTTTTTAAGTTTGGTCCTATTTTTTCTAATAATCATTTGGCGTTCCGAAAACCATGGCTAATTCGCCCAAAAGGGAAAAGTGCTCACTACGTTTTTTTTCCCATGCTATATGCCTTTGGGCTCGAACCGAAGAATCTTAGTTAAGAGTAGAAGAATCTTATCAATTTTACCATAATTTTTAGTCAGTTGTGAAATATTGATTTCTAGTGTATATAGATAAAAGGAAGAAATGTGTATGCTTTTTGTGAATTTTATTCAAAATATTCTATAGTCACAATTCAAAATGTAGAGTATAAGTTCAAATCCCACAAATGGCTGCTTAATCAGATATTTCTTATTTTCTGTTACTTAATAATATAGAATTATTATATGGAAGGTCATAATCAGTCTCCAATTTCCTTCCCTTTTCGCGAAGGGCGAATTTTCTTTATTTCTCTTCTTTTGAAATAAGGGAAGGGGCAAAGGCTTTATATATATTTGTTTCAATCACTCTTCTCTCTTCTCAACTGTCCTCCGTGTTCAACTCGCGTTTTAGCAGACACTGCAGAAAATCAAACAGGAGAGAGAAGGTAGTTTCTAGAGAGAGAAACCAAACAACACAACACCAGTTTCTAGAGAGAGAAAAAAAGTAAACCGGAAGAAAATTTTCCGGCGACATTGTAAATTATTTTCCAGTGAAGTTTCCATATTTGTACACTCACTGTCAATTGATTGCGTTGCCGTCTCCAGATTATCCATTACCGATTTGGTAATTAGGTTTTCGAGATCGGTTGTTTATCATCCTTCGATTCGTTAATTCGGGTTAACAGGAATTTTTTGGTTTCGATTCGATAATCGGGTTCAAGTATTTCAGAAAGATAAAACAAAAAGGAAAAAGGAGGTCTAAATTTGTTTCGAAGTGAAGGGGGTTTAGGTTGAAAGATGTTGACCACCACGGTTGGTTTGTGATATAATATGGCACGGGTTGGTACAGATAAAGATATGTCGTTTTACATTGGTCGCGAGGCTTCAAAGGTTCGCTTTTTATTTGTTCTCTCTCTTTTTGCTTCTGGAAGTTTTGTTAATTTGGATTTCTGGAGATCCTTTTTCTTTCCTGATTGTGTTGTTGTCATGGAGAGCAGTTGTGGAAGAGATTTTGTGCGGAGATAACAACAGAGATCAATCTTCTTGCTGAGAATTGGAAGTATATTCTTGGCGGTTTGATTTGTCAGGTTTTTACATATTCTTCCTTTCCATCAATTTCAGTTTCTTTTAAGTACTTTTTAATGGTTATTTGAGCGTGCCTAATTTCATGTATTTTACAGTGTGCTGCTACAAAATCCTTCATTTGTAGTCAATTAGCTTTTAAAATTTGGATTACTAAATCTCATTCGTCTTTGCTTTTGGCAAAATGCATAGTTTTTCTGCTTTGGACTCGCAGGTGTAGCAAGTACTATAAGCTTAGGTTGAAATATAACTGCTTTCGATTTGTTAGAGTAGCTAGGTGGTATAAGTTATGTTGAAATTCAATGCTTTTACACAAGGCTCGAGTGTTTCTTTTAGCAAATATGTTATGTTTCCTCTGTCTAGGCAGGGAGGGAGGTTGAGCGGAGAGACAGGAGGTTGGGAGCTGCCAAATTTTGTCTGGCCAACCTCTTACTGAATCATAGCGTTTGTTATTAGTTTTTTGTTACATTTTCTATGGTTGTTGAATATGATTTTTTGGCGAATAAATGAAGATTTTATGTTACTCTGCTTGATCATCGTTTCTTATTCCTGTTCTTATTGCATTTTGGGTACCTGAGTTGTGAAATCTCTATATTCATTTCTTCAGTACATCCATGGACTTGCTGCTAGAGGTGTGCATTACTTTCATCGGCCTGGACCAATTCTTCAGGACGTCGGCTTCTATCTTCTTCCGGTTGGTTTTCTTGCTTTTTGTTTTTTCTTCTCCCCCACTATTACGGTAGGTAGAACTGACCTTTTCTCTTTGATTGAAATTCTAGGAGCTTGGACAAGATAGAGCTTACATAAGTGAAACTGTATTTACCACCATCTTTCTATCTTTTGTCTTGGTGAGTTTGTTTCTCTATAATTTTTCTCATCTTTTGTCTTTTGTCTTTGGTAGGATTGAGCTTACGTAAGTGAAACTGGATTCTTTATCTATCATTACTGTATTTATTCCCTTGATATTTAAGTGTACACAAGCACACATGCACTACTTTGAGGCAAACCGTGAGGCCAAGCTGCTTCAGGCTTTAGATTCAGGGAAATCCTGGATATTAGTTTAAGTTATGTTGATGTGGTGGTCAAACCAGAGTTTCATTTACCCTTGAATGGATGTTGGAAATGTGGTGGTTGGTCTTAATCTTTTTTACTTGCTGCAGAGTTAATTTACCATCTTTTATTCTAATGGTTTTTCTCATGCTTTCCTGCAGTGGACCTTCCACCCTTTTATTTTCAAGACCAAAAAGATCTATACAGTTCTGATATGGTGCAGGGTCTTGGCATTCTTAGTCGTAAGTGCCCCTTTTCTTGGCCTGGATTACTTTCCCTTGTACTCCTTCACTTACTATTCATTCTTATCTACAAATAACAAACATTTGGAGAGAAATCCTAGATATCCATTACATTTTTTAAGTTGGTTAATTGTTTGCCACAGGGTTGTCAATTCCTTCGGATCATAACATTCTATTCTACACAGCTTCCTGGTCCAAATTATCACTGTCGTGAGGTAAAAGCTTTTCTCATTTAATTGATGCTCTTTTTGTTTTAGCTTGTTGTTTTGCTGTCTATCAGCTGTGCCTCAGCTTGTTTCATCCTCTTTTTTGTCAAAGCCTCAACTCATTTTATTCTGCAAATTACCAGGGTTCAAAGCTTGCCACGCTTCCTGCTCCTGACAATATTTTAGAAGTGCTATTGATTGGTAAGTTGCATTCTCCTTTACTAAATGCTCCTTGTGGTTCCAAAGTGACATTCTTTAATTTAGACACTTACATGACATTTATGAATGTGCAGTTCCTCGGGGCGTGCTTTATGGTTGTGGTGATCTGATATTTTCATCTCATATGATATTCTCTCTAGTCTTTGTGCGGACATACCAGAAATATGGAACACGAAGGTAGGTACTGCGGTAATGCTGATTAAATGACTTATGATATCTGTGGGAATTGGGCCGATAATCATTCTAGTCTTAGTTCTGGTGACAATGAAACTATGCAAATCATCCATTACTTGGTGGGGAAGGGAGTTCAGTGTGAGGGTAATGGGAAGTACCCAACCTAGTTAATGAATGGTGCTTCAACTCCCTATCTTTCCTTTTGCTTTGTTTTCTCCTCTTATTTTAATCATCTGCCTAGAAGATAAATTTTCCGAGGGTTCTGTAAGTTCACTTTGGGAAGGGCTTCTTTTGAACTTTTTTCTATTCTACTGTTACAATAATTAGTACTTATTCTTTTGTAGGGTACATAAATGTTATGTGTTAACTGAGTGACTGGAACTTTCTCCTTCCCTTGCTTACGCTGCATTTCTATATTTTGTCAAGTGTTTTGGCACAACTTGCATTTGTCACTGATTGCTAGATTTTATTCTGCAGGTTTATAAAACAGTGTGCTTGGTTGGCTGTTATTGCACAAAGCTTATTGATTCTTGCATCGCGCAAGCATTACACTGTTGACGTAGTTGTGGCATGGTGAGTTGGTGTTTTTGCTTGCTGTGCTCTTTGGTACATTCTTTGTTCACAACCAAACATGTGACTTGATTGAGCCTTTTTTATTTTAACTGAGAAATGGTAATCGTGACTTAAATGAGCCATATATTAATTTGGTACAGGTACACAGTCAACCTTGTAGTGTTCTTCATTGATAAAACGTTACCAGGTTAGTTTTCAGTTTACAGATGAATTATTTTATCTGATTTTCATTCTCCACTCTCTTCCTCTTGTTATTACACAAAAGAAATGTTAAAAAGGCTAAAGTGCTGAGGGTGTATCTTGCAGAACTGCCTGATCGCACTAGTGCCTTGTTGCTTCCAGTGACCAAGGATAGCAAGTCTAAAGAAGAGAATCACAAACTGCTGAATGGAAATTCTGGAGATCCTGCAGAATGGGTATAGAGATTTACACATTTCCATATTAGGGATCATAGCTTTTGTCACTACTGAGATTAGTTTTGACACTGTTTTCTGCATTATGTGCAGAGGCCTCGAAACGGGAAGATCGTGGAAGATGGGAAAGCAGTGCACGTTGAAGCAGTAATTAATGGTGCATAGACGATAAACTTCATGCAACGCCATTAACTCTGATGCTTGCAACCTTGGTACAGAGATTGGTAACAATGCCATTACAAATTGTGTTAATATAAATCATTTCTGGTGTTCTTCCAAGTTCAATAGTTTTGGTTTTAGCGTAGGATACGAAATCAAGGATTGAAATGCTATCGATGTCTCCACAGTTCCCTGTGGTTAAATTTAATGCTATCAAATGTATCATGGAATTCATTTTATTTTTTGGTTAAAGCAATTATTTTCTTATTTCCAAAAGAGTATATGTGTTGTTCCTTTATGCGGCAGTAGCATGGGCGTGAGCTGGTGTGTAGTAGATCCAACTGAATACTTTCTGTCCCTAGGACCACGCATTCCCTTTGTCCATTGTCAAATTCTTTATGTATCTACGCCCATTACCTGTTTGTACATTTATTTTAAAGGAGACTGCACCACAGCACGTTGCTACCCTTTCCTCTGGGACACAACTAGCGCTGCCTAGTTAGTTGTCTTTTATGATGACACAAGAAGCTTCTCTCTCTTCCAACAACATTTTGGTTGTTGGCATGTTATGCTGATCAATAAGACATAGAGGCGGATTCAGAATTTGAAGTTAATAACTAGTAAGTTATGTTTTGCGTGGTATTAATAGATATACATTAAAAAGTTCATATCACACCACTCCATAAAAGAAAAACGAAATAAAAGTAAAAAATTCTTTCTTTTGAAGCTAAATTCCATACTCTTTTTCTCTGAGATACAAGTATTCCTTGTACCTCATAGCATGTAAATTTTTGAGGAAGAGTATAAATAAGTCAAAAGGAGTTGGTATAAACTAGATACTATATATTTTTAAAATGTTCGAACAAATATTTGGTTCACCTTGTTCATATGTTACATCTGCACCTGTCGAAGCTGCCCTCTATACTTGCTTGCACGGCTATCTTACCAGGACAAGCGTTACCTTATTGATGAACAATCACAAACTAGCCCATGTGCCATTGGTTCCTGTTAGGTGAAGCTTCAAAAATGTTTACGCTTTGGCTTTGACTTAAATCAAGAAAACACTACTTTCTAGATACTCTCGCAACTTAAGCCACAGACAAATTCAAAATTTAAACTTTATACATCCGCAATCAGAATTTTAGCACAGGTCACTCGTCAGAATTTGCACTTATTTAATACTACTTTTTAATATATATACAAGATTTGAGTGGCTTAAGGTGAACCCAAAGCATATGCACTATAATCGGTAAAAAAAAAGTAATATTACATGTGAAAGTCTAATTTTTGGTAAAGAAAGAAGATATGAAACAATTCTTGAAAGAACCAATCGGATTTTCAAATAAATCTTTTTTCCTCCCTTTGGTTGGAATTAATATGATTTCATGAGACTCCTCCTCCAAATGAAATTCAATGGGATCCAGAGCGACAACATTTTCATCCATAGGATCGCAAGTACCCAGATAGCTAGATCAAAAAAGAGTTAAATTTATCTGAATTATACATTTTCAAATGATATCCATGTTGTTCACAAATATTTATTTATTTTTTCACCCATAACGATTTCCGCATTGAACCCAATTTTCTGCTATAGTTGGTCAAGAGGGAATAAGGTTCCTGCCACAATTTGCGAACTAAATGATAGTAAGTTTGAATTTTTTCAATAATCTTAGTACTTCACGGAAAATCAAATTATCGAAACATTAACAAAAAATTTGAATCTTAGGGAATTCAGTTCAAAAGGACACTCACGTTCAAGGGTAAAATTGATTAAAATAGTAAAATACCAAACTTCAATTTTTTTATTTCTTTATATTTGTACGCGCAAATTGATCAGACATCACTAATTCACTATGATAAAGTGATAAGAATGAATAACTCTTTTGAGACTGCACATCACATCAATTAGAGGAATTTAAATGATTTTGTGCTATATTTATTCCCTGGCTTGTTCGATAATCATCTTTCACGATATGCAATAGCCTGTTCACAGCTTAGTTTTGCTTGATTATAGTAAAAGTCATATTTCTGTCAATTAGTATATAATCTTTCTTGACAGCCAATTCGATCGGTCCCATTCTTTTGTTCATTAAAATATTTACTCTTATTAAACAAGTCATATAGCATAAGATCTGGACCACCAATTATAAAATAAAATGAAAATAGAAGAAAAAGCCCATGTTGGCGCAATTTAAGCTGTAAAAGTCAGCCAAAAAAGAAAGAGAGCCTAAAAAATCTAAGTCTGTAGACATGTTAGTGTCTGATATGAGTAAATAATTTGCATTATCATCATTAGTGTATGTGAGTATAACGACCACTTTTCTTTATCTTTTGCATGCTTATTTTTGGGGTCCTCTTTGACACCTTTGTATGGTACAAATTATTAGAGGCACACACAAAATTGGCCTACTTATTACTTTGCAATGTGGAATGAGTGGTGATGACCATCATTGATTTGGCCATGTTTTTTTCTCCAAATTTATAGGGATTAGCCATTTTTACTTCTTTTTTTTGGTTTTCAATCCGATATCCGGTATCCATATTGGGGCACGACTAAATCCAGATTCGCACCGAGAAGTTCCGCATTGGGGGGTGAAGCACTCCCTAACAAAGGCAACTTCATACCCAGGAACTCAAACTCGAGACCTCTGGTTAAGAATGAAGGAGTACTTACCACTCACCACAACCCTTGTTGGTACCACTTTTTTACTTTAACACGCATTCGGTATTCAGAATTTATTGATTTGATTTATTTAACCAAATTAGCACAAAAAGGATGAACAAGTAGTGTAGATTTGTCAAAATGTCAAGGTCGAGATCTCCCCACCTGGATAATTATACTACATATCAGAGACGGACCTATGTTGTAAAGAAAGGGGTCATCGGCATCCGAAAAGTATCAAAGCAAAATTTTTATATATACATGTATATGTCTTTAAAAAATAATAATATATTAGTAGTGACACCTTACATATAAAGTATAATTTAGTTGAATGTAAAAGTGTCCGCGACGTTCAAGTCCTGGGTGTCCAAAATATTTACTTATGGACAATCAAACTAAATGAACTTTGGCTAACGTATTAAGTGAGCAAAAATTGAAACTTACAGATTTATGATTTATACTTTTGGAATAGTATCTGTACCTCTAATTTTTGTATTAAAAAAAAATAAGGAAAAGAATGAGAGGTTACAAAAGAAGAAAAGAAAAAAAGTAAGCCAAAAAATTTATCTTAAACGGTTGAGAAGGTTTAAGTCAGGGAAGACTGACAGAATCTGGTATTTGAAGCAGTCCAAGATTCAGTATTCAAATTCCAGTTTACTAATTTGGAATTATTCAGCTCCATTCTCAACTATATATGTTCTTGAATGAGTCAATTTCCCCATTATTTGACCCCATTTTTCCTTCTTTTACGCAAAACATTTTATAAAATGTAAGTGAAAACTCATCAGTAGAAGGAATGTGGAAGTTTACTTCTTCATACTGACGGTATAATTTTTTTTATATGATCAGGTTACTTATTAGAAAATAATAAGCAAATAATTTAATAAAAATAATAATTAACGTACTATCATAGGTTAAAATTCATTTATAGTGTTACTTTTTTTTTTTTAAAACTCAAAATCAAGAATGTAACTTAGTAAATATTACATATTTTATGACTGGTCTCATCTAGAGTTAGAACTTGATAAGCAATTGGCTATACCAAATTATGGACATTTTTCATTTGTTTTCATATGTTTGGAAATATCTTAACTGTACTTTTAAATGACTAAGATATAACTGCATACCATCAAACGTATAAGCTGGTGAAATTTAGACAGTTTTACCTACTACTCGAGTTTGAAATTTGAATCTCAATGTTTCTTGGTGGGGCTAAACTTACTCTTTAATTCTTATGCTAGTTGACAACTTTGTGTAACAATTTCACATACATTCCTAATTTGTGCCCGAACAACAACAATAACAAATTCAGTGTAATTTTACAAGTGGAGTCTGGGAAAGATATATTGTGTGTATGCAGACCTTATGTCTTCTTTGTGAAGGTAGAGAGGCTATTTTCGATAGACTCTCGGCTCACAAAAAGCATAGTCACAACATTGTTGAAAATAAATACAGTAATGGATAAGCCATGAAAAAAGAAGCAACAACAAGAAGTAGTAACAACATGATAATAAGATAATCAAAGCAAAAGGAATAACTAGCAATACTAGAAATCTAAGTATAAGAAAGTGCGAGAAAAGTATTGATACTACAAGTATGAAAAAGAAATACGCCTGATTGTTAATCTTTTGCCATAGTTCTCGACCTCCACATCCTCCTGTCAAGGATTATATCCTTAATAAGCTGCAGATGTGCCATGTCCTGAAAAATAAGCTAAATAATCATGAGACAACTAATTGGAGTTTGTCTCAAAATTATTGATTACGATTTACGAGTTTGAATTCAGTAATCGCACAATCATTATCGTTCAATTGAGTTCTTCTTCTTCTTCTTTTTTATTTTTATTAAATACAGTTTAGCTATACCATAATAAAAATAATCGGAGCCTAAACAAGAGAAAATCCTAGGCAACTGAAATTAGGTATGGGCACCCAATCATGCAAATAGTGAAAACTCGAACACCAATAAGGATCTATCATAATTACTAAATTCATATGGTATATAGTAGTATATGATTTGATGACAAATAGGAGTACGAGAATATATTGTATAGATTTAATAAAGTAATACCATATCCAAATAGTCGTAACACTATTCAAACTGCAAAATGTACCAGTCTTTCAAAAGCAAGCAAACTATGATAAATTTGGCTTTTCGCACTGCCTTTATACCATTTGGTTGTCTTTTCCAAAATTACAATAGAAAAGAATATGACCGAGTCTAAACGAGAAAAGGTGAAAATTATTCTTTATTTGGAAACGAGGAGAAGTAAGGACAGGTAGGGAAAATGGCAAAAAATTCCCATTTCCTATTTATTTTGGCAAAGAAAATAGGAAGGGAATTGCACAAGGAAAACAAATTTATGAGCCAACAAATATTTCTTCAGGCACGTTGTAACAGTTTTCCTTTTTCTTGAAAAAAAATATTCAGATGTGAAAATGGAGAGATTTAATAATTTTAAACAATTAGCACATCTATTTGAAAACAAGAGAAAGGAAATTCTTTTAGTGCTCAAAATTTTATTAAAGATAAAAAATATTAGCAATTTGTTTAGATGGTTGTTACACGTCGTTTCATAATTTATCGTATTATATTGTAATACATTGTATTGTATTG